CCCCTCCAAAAAAAAAAAAAAAAAAAAAAAAAAAAAAAAAACCCCCCTTTTGAGGTAAACCAACTTTAAAATAAGCTGCAAATGGAAAGAGCAATAAGCAATATCAAAAAAAAAAAAGGAAAAAAAAGGAAAAAAAAAAAAAAAAGGAAAAAAGGAAGCACAAGGGACAGCAAGGCCCATATCCAAACACTTATGCAAATAAGCTCCAACTCACAAGAAAAAAAAAAAAAGAAAAAAAAAAAAAAAGACAAACAAATCCGTTTATAAATGAAACATTATAAAAATATGGGCATAAATACATATTTGGTTCTTCACTAATGTGTATTTGCAAATATAAAGATGGAGGAGGTGTAAAAGGCATAAACCTTGTATTCGCTCTTGCTTTTTAACATAAATAAAAAAAAAAAAAAAGAAAAAAGAAAAAAGAAAAAAGAGAAAAGATAAAGTCACTTGTGGAGGAAACGTAAAAAAATAATTCGGCCCAATTCTTTCTTTTTCTTCTATCCTCTCTTCAAAATGATTCCTTGTTTCTTTTGACCGTTGCTGCGTTTGGTTGGTATTTAGATTAGATTAATCTTCTGGGCCGCTGGCTGGATCCTAAAATTATTTACAAAAACCAAACAAGAGAGAGAAAAAGGGGAGTATCGATGAGGCAGTTAATTGCCTCAGTGTTTTTCTTCTGATAAAATATATGAATTCTGTTGACCGCTCACGTGGCCTTTGCGCTCAGTGAGTGTATGAAATATTATTTCTTACGACGTGGCAGAATTTGGACTCCTCCAACCACAAGACCCCGCCGCGGGGTGGGAATCAAAAGGGGGTGGGTGGATGGCAAAATAAAACAAAATACTCTGGCCTCTGTCTGCTCCCTGATGCCCTTAAAGTCTTTTTTTTGCCAAAAATTCATGCGGTAGAAAAGCGTCTTAAAAAAAGAGCATTAGTTCTATCAGGATATATATATACATTAGTTAAGGCCGCCAGCTCTCCCACGATCATTCTCTTCACAATCCCCTATTATTATTATTATTATTTCCCTTTCTTGTGCCGCCAATGTCTGTGCTAACTCGGTACACAAATTCCTTTGAACTCCTCCTTGGATTCTTTCACTTACCGCAGGATGACGCTCAGCTTGTCGACAATGTCTTTTCTCTCCAGCTGAAGAGACTCCAATTGGTCGAACCTGCTTGCATTCGTCAACTTCAGCCCCTCATTTCCTGTCGTTACCGGAGAGTCCGCCATGAAACTTTCCTGCCAAATCTGTTCGTTGATCCTCCGAAGGGCCTCCGTTAGGGAATGAATCTCGCCCTCGCGGGCTTCACGCGCGGCGACGGTACTCTGCACCAGCCCCTTGTCTCCCCCAGCGACAGGGGGAAAGGTATTGGGCTGTGCCCCCTTCCACTCCTCAGAGCTCTCGGTGCACCTTGGCAGCCCCTTGATACCGTCATCAAACCGTGTGAATGGAAGTAGATGACTACTGCCGCCGGCTTCAATCCCCTTCCCCGCCACTCCAGTCACAGTTCTACGTCGCACTATAGCCATGGCGTTGAGAGGCTTTACGGGGGATTCAGAAATGCGGAGCACCGATTTAAACGAGAATGAAGGCGATGCCACCGCGGCGCTTCGCGGACTCACCGGATTCGGCGTAGTCATTATGGAGATACTTGAGCTTTTCACTTTTGGCATCGTGACGGGGCTCCTCGTGGCGCCGGATGAATCCATCTGCCTCGTCGGACTTCGCTGAAACGACTTGCCGGAGGATCGATTGGGAAGCGAGCGACGAATAGACACAACCTGTTTCTTGTTCAATTGCTGCTGCTGCTGCTGCTCCATCAACGCCTCCTCTGATAATTCTATGGGAAATCCTTTCTGGGAAAGAGGCGCATCGGTGCTCTGAGGCGACACGGCTTTAAGCACTCCGTCTACGTAGGAACGTGTCGATCGATCACCCGTGGACGTTGTATAGATACCATCACCGTGCAGGACATTTCGCTTCCATGTACACTCAAGAACATTACCCCCAACAAAAGTATAAACTCCACGTCCATGGCGCATCGGCAGCGGCCTTCCACTGTCGGCAACTTCACCCTCGTACTTATCTCCATTGTAAAACAGGGTGCCTCGGCCACTGACCACACCATTTTTGAACTCACCCTGAAACCCATCCTGCGTCGGGAGCGTGATTTTCACATTTCCATGCGGTTTACCATTGGCAAAGCCTCCTATTATTACTGTACCGTCTTCTAACGTCATTGTACCATTTCCAGTGAGCTCATCCATAACAAACTCACCCTCATATTTAAAACACTCCTTTAACATGGAAATTGTTCCCTTGCCATGACGCTTGCCCGCCTTCAGCTCTCCGCTGTAGTGGTACTTCTTCACGACAAAATCCACTCCGTTTCCCTCCTTAATTCCACTTTTCCACTCACCAGTGTACGTGGAGCCGTCATGCAGTATCAATTTGCCTTCTCCATCCAAATATCCTTCCTTCCACGAGCCCTCGTACGTGTCCTCTTTTTTTTCTTCAGTGCCCTTCCAAGTAATCTTGCCGTAGCCGTCAGGAAGTCCACCGATAAATGAGCCTTCATAGTGCACCTTTGGTGTTATAAAGACCCCTGAACCCTGTGGTATCCCGTTCTTCACAGCACCTCGATAACTCTGTTTATTTACCCACTGCCAATCTCCATCTCCGTTCGGCAATCCATTGAGCCACGTCCCTTTATATTGACCAGAAACATCAATTTGCGGAATGAAACACCGAACCTCTGCTGAGATGGGCGGTGATGGGTGCGGTCGTGGATCTGCCGTCAGCAGAGTGAGCGTTCCAGTACCGGATCCCTTGGGCACTCCTCCCATAAAATCCCCTTCGTAACAAAGC